ACAGCTCTCTTAAATCTCCTCGATTCTTTTCTTATATTTGTCTTATATGTCTTATATTTTCTGCTGTACATGAAATCATTCTCCTTTTGCATGAAACTTTAACTGTCACAGAGACGACTTCGCAGGGTGGTCCTATGGTTGCAAAACAAGCCCAAGTCAACACCCCTCCACCACCGTGCTTGACAGCAGGTGTTCATATGTTGTGTTTGTGTGGTGCTGTTCATGACCACATATCTTGACGTTGGTTTCATCTGTCCAAAGAGAAGTGTTCCAGAAGATTTGTTTGGTTGCAGCTTTGCAAACCTAACCTGAGAGAGAAGAGACTTTCTCCCAGCAGCCCTTCCAGGCAAGCCATCAGTTTCAGTCTTTTTCTGAGTGTACTGTCATGAAACTTACCATTTAACACACTAACTGAGGCCTGTAGAATCTGAGATGTAGCTCCCATTTTTTTACGTTTCTCTGAGCATTGTACAATCTGACCTCGAGGTGACATCCACTCCTCTTGTGAATAATCTTTCTCACTGTAAAATGATTTGCTTCAAATTTTTTGTAAATGACCTTATGACCCTTGGCAAACTGATGAGCACCAGTTGTTTTTCATGGTTTTATGGTTCTTATTTCTGATCATTTGATTACTTTTCTTGTATATTGGATATGTGTATTTTATAACTTGTTTTTAACTGTGTGTATTGGACCAGGGGTTGCATACATGGTTTTCTTTTTTTATGAGTTCCATGTTTTGTGCCTGGTCCCTGACAAATAAGAAATAATACCAACAAAAAAGAAAACAAAATTTGTGATAGTAGCCTTTGGCAGGAAAGCTACTGTTGACCTTGAGAATTCGTCACTCCTACCCTCTCTGTGAGACCGGACTGTTTGACTACCAGCTGGTCCTGGTCCATCTGGCTGGGAGACAGTCGCCCCCTTAGATCCCTCCTCTCCTCCAGTGCACTGAACTCTGAACTCTCGCCTGAGACAAGGAAACAGATCAGACATATAGAAGAGTCAGAGTCAGTCAGAGGGATTATCAGAAGAAAGGGTTGTAATTCACCTTTCAGATATCCAGTAATGTTAAGTTAATCTACAAACTAGCCATTTAAAGTTTTTTTCAGTACCTGCTGGATCCTCGGCTAGATTGTGGGTGATGATCTGACGGATGCGAGAGGAGACAGGTACAGGTGTGGCCCTGGATTCTTGTCCCTCCTCTTGAAGTGTCAGACTTCTCTCTCCTGAGCTGCCATCAGACTGAAGGAGGGACTCCTCCAGTTTCTACAATTACATCAACACACAACACTTTACCCTAGAGATTACACTATGGGAGTACTACTTCAGTCTTACACTTTACTCTAATTATCTTTATTTTAATATATTCAGCTTTCATTTGATTTACAAAGGTTTTGTTACTGCTTATTCACTTATTAATTCATTCATTTTTACTTATTTTCTTTTATTTAGATTTTTAATTATTGTGCTCTGTGCTGTGTTATATATATTATTTTTTATATTTATTTATTTATTACAAAAAGCATATTGCACTGCCTTTAGACTTTTACCGTGGCTCCTTTACTTATCTTGACAACTGATAATGAGTTATATATTATGAGTGGGGCTGCCACAAACGATTATTTTTATAGTCGACTAGTCACCGATTATTTTTGCAATTAGTCGACTAATCAGATCATGCATCCATTGGACGTAAAACGTACAGCTTATTGCACCAGCATGCATCTGCTCTTATATAACTATCATTAGCTTACAGCCCTAAGTGTTTAAGTGTTTAAGGTATGTGCTAACTCAGCGGTCCCCAACCTTTTTTGCGCCACGGACCGGTTTATGCCCGACAATATTTTCATGGACCGGCCTTTAAGGTGTCGCGGATAAATTCAACAAACTAAAACTAGTACCGGTACCGAAAAAAGAAGGTTTATTCATAACACACGTGAAAAGACCCAGGAAAACTGAGTAAACGATAAAAACGATAACAAAATAACGCTGAAAACCGATAAAAACCCTGAAAACTATACATTTCACACATGAGCCTCTACTTTCGCGGCCCGGCACCAAACGACTCACGGACCGGTACCGGTCCGAGGCCCGGGGGTTGGGGACCGCTGTGCTAACTAAAAGTAAAAACAAGATGATAGTTTATTAAATGTTAATGACATTTGCAGATTGTTTCGGTGAAGTTTAATAAACTCCTTGCTATCTAAAATATAACAGGACACCGGAGTATATTCTCGAGCATCTCACATTTCTGATAATCAGTTGTCTGCTTGATGTTTATTCAGCTGTGTAAAAACTATAACTTTAATCTCAGTCAAACCAATTTACTCAGGAACAAATAAAATACAGACAGCGGTGGGTTTGAAAACGATTTGCTGGGAGTCCGGTGTTCTCACCGGTTCTAGTGAGCCTTGCCCCCGGCTAGCTATCGAGCTGGTGGGTAACAGACATCTCCGAAAACGTCGGAGCGCTTTTGCAAATATGTGGTGTCTTGATAAACTGAGCAGGTATTTGAGGTTTACACAGCTCCATTCTCGCCTGAAAATATGTTAAACTTTATTTTGTGACCCAAAAAGAATGATAAGAGTAATATTAAAACTAACTAGCTGCCGCCATTGTTGACAACTGTTCTGGGCCGCGCTATGAATTCTGGGACACAGCTTCTTCTTCGGGGTTTAACGGCAGCTGGCATCCTTGTACATGCAGTGCTGCCATCTTCTGTTTCAGTCCGTTATTACACTCTTAAATCCTACTACTCATTCCTGCATCTTTTGGGATCTTACAAAGCTTCAAATGACGTGTCGACTATTAAATTAGTCGTCGACGATTTTAATAGTCGACGCAATCGTGACTAGTCGACTAATCGTGGCAGCCCTAATTATGAGTTATTAATTTTTATTCCAGTTGTTAAACCTATTTTATTATAGGTCACCTTTAATTTTTTAGCTGGCATAACACAGGAAATTTTTTTGTCTTAAAAGCAAGAACACCACAAATTCAGAGTATCCCAGTACAGCATAAGTCTTAAGAGTCACGACAAAATGTATTTGTATTTACTTGTTTATGTGTCTGTAACATTATATATAAATGTTATTATATTGTTGTGATGGCTGACATAATTTTAAGCTACCTTACACATTTTGGGTCATGGATAAGAATAAAAGATATTTCATATGGTGATACCAAGCCACTACTAGCTGCAGTGTAAAGTACTATTTCCCACTGATATCAGCCTGTCTGACCGATATGTAGTGTTATTTATAACAGTATTTGGGTACCAATTATATTATTAGTAATACTCAGTGGTAATGTAATAGGTTTATTTTATTTTCGTTATATCTTAAAAAAAATAATTAATTAACGGGAGAACTTGTATCAGTTTTAAACCACTTTGCTTTTTATACTAGACTTATATTTTCCTAAAACTGAAACTTCAAAGTACACATAGATGTAAACTAGAATAAAATCAACCTGTTCTTGACTCTAAATGAGTTTTAAATGACAGCTAAGCAAGTAAGTCCATGCCATCTTATTATACAGTGTGTCTTTACCTAAGCTTCGTGGTCCTTTGAGAAATTAAAATTAAAAGAAGCATTAAATGAATAACGTTCAAATGACTCGCCAACAATACAAACTGTTAAATAAATATATCTTTATTAATGATGATTTTCCTTTGCTTTTGACAAACATCTTGTAGAGGGCGGTAAACCCATGCAGGAAAAACTCTGAAAATAATATTTAAAATGACTCCAATAATATAAACTTTTCCTTATCTTTATCAAGAGTTACCAACCTGAATCACTGCCTCCAGTCTGGGTGAGTGTGCATCTTCCTCCTGTAGAGAAGTCATCGCGGCCCAGCTTCAGCTATAAAAGGTTTGCTAGTCTACTGAACGTTTGGGCTCGGTGGTTAGTTAGCTTTACTCTGGTACACTTTTCGTCCGACAGTTATTAAAAGTTGAGTGGAAAAAAAGCGCAAAAACCAAGCATGTCCTTAAATAATAAAATGAAAACACCAGATGTCTTAGTTTGCGACTGCGTGAGGAGAAACTTCAAAAGCTGAAACAAAAATCACGGACAGGAAACTTTTAAGCTAAGAAGACTGAAGACATGTAGCTCAATCCCAGGCCAGTTGTTATGGTGACCACGCGCTTCCGGGACCGTTGTCATAGAAGCAGAACGCTTGCTTGTCCGTTTTCATGGCAGCGCAGAGACCAGGAGCCAGGCAACAGGATTCCAAGGGGTTAATGATCAAAGCACTGAAGGTGAACAGAAACACAATATATGTATGTGTGTCTATGTATATAAACATTTTACTTACTTTCAAGTTTACTTGTTTACTTTAAAGTCACTAAAGTCACTGGATAGGTGGAAGAAACCAACTCTGATATCTGAAGGGTCTTTGGGGGGCGGGTAACAGATATAGGATAAAGGTAAAGGCACCTTACTTAATACAAATTCATGCATTTCCCTCTTATTGTGGACACTTAATAAACAGAAATACATTTAAAACTTGGAAAATTAAACCCCACTCGTTTCATTTTTTTGGTGCGGTACACTGTTTTTATACATAGGATAAATCCTGTTACATTTCAATTAAATTAGAGCCTGAGCTTTCAAATGATCCTTTATACAATGGTCTAAAATATTTTTATGCTATAAAATCTTTAACCAATTTTCAGAAACATAATAAGCAGATTTTAAATGACTACAGACAAAAACTCTAAAAATAGAAGCCCACAAGCTAGTTCTGCAAACATTTAATGATTCATGTGCACCATACAGTAACACAAAGAAATTCAGGTCTCAAACACATGATACAAAGTATAAATAAACACCTGCTGAGCAGTAGAGCACAGCCCTAAAAAACATCCAAGAATACCTGAGGGTCATGTAATGTGCTATTCTCAGGCACAATGACATCCAGGGATAAGCATTCCTTTTGCAGCGTAGGCATTTGTATGAGAGGAACACATCTCTATTAACTCTTTGGCCTTGAGGAGGACTTTATGTTGACTCAAGCTCAGGCCACGGGTTTGGGTCTAAGAAGATGGTGCAGACTCCACTGTAGAACCAAAGTCTTGGCAGGGAGGACTCCACTTCCCAGATGTTGGACGCTCGGTTGTAAACCTCCACTTCGACCCCATAGTCCCCCTCCATACCTTTCCAATGGCCTCCGGTAACAAAGAGCTTCCCATCAAGTGATACAAGGCCGCCATTCTCGTGGAGCATGTGTAGAAGCTGGACCTGAAGAGAGCAAAAACCAAAGGTATTACTTAAACGTCTGGTAGGATGAATTCGTGCAAAGGGACTATTTAATGTATTTAGCTTGCTGTCTGCAGTGATAACTAAACCCACCTTCTGCCATATATTTGCCTCTGGATCATAAGCATAGACTTTTTTAGTGTTGTCAGCAACCAGATATATAGTTCCATCCACGCAGACAGAACGAGGAGAGGACAAATACTTTGGGATAAAGGGTGAACATACGCTGATCCAGCTATCTATGAAGAAAAATATAACAAATATGTTAATTATTAGATTAAAGCACAAACAAATATCCAAAGAAAATGGCACTTTATGGCACTTTATGGGAACATTATGGCACTTCATTCAGTTTTAATAAAATAAATGCTATAAAGTAAACAATGTTACACCAAAAGAAAAAAATGTGACAAGAGACACAAAGAAAAGATAAAAACTGAGAAACAAAAGCTCAACAAAAAAGACCATAAAGGTTTTTTTCCCCAGTAAATTATTAGAAAAGAGATTGAATATCCTGGGTACCAGTGCTTGTTTCTCTTCCTTTACGTAACAGAGATTTTACGTTTGAAACTATGATACGTCTCATAATACTGATGCTCACAGAAAAATGATGCTGAACAGAAAAGATTTTTGACTTTTTATACTGTGACGTTTGTGGGAGTAAAATGTATTTTGCTCCCATGTTTAACAGAAAAATGCTTGCAATGTTATGAGGGATCATTATTGTTGGAAGAAATTAGGCAAATTTAAAATAGCTAAACTTTTACCCATCCATATATACCTCAAGAGATTCTAATTTGGATAATATGTATCTGACACTGAAGAAATTACTGCTACAAAAAAGTAAAATAACATATTATTTAAAGTGGCATCAACTAAAATGAAGATGCAAAAACATCCACCAATAGGACTGCATGCATTATAGAAGTACTGTGAACAGTGCTCAGGATGGTACTCAGGGCATCCTTACCTATGACAGGGTTGTAGCACTGCATGGTCAGTGCATTGTATTTCACTGCACATGACCCAATTACATAGAGCTTCCCCTGACAAGCTGTGGCGGTGAAGTTCGTCACATACTTTAAGGCGGGGCAAGTCATAGCCCAGGTGTCGTTATAAGGGTCGTAGTGCTCAACTTCAACTCGGTCTGACGTTGTGCCTAAGAGGAAAAATTAACGATCGATAGTCACATTTAACATTCAAGTGACAAAATGACTTATTTAGTATCCCAGCCAGATATTTCTATGAGCCACTGTGGTGTTTTTAAGTAAAACTGGTGTAGCTCACATAATAGAATGTTTTGGTAAATATATTTACATTTTTTAGTGCTGCAGGCTTTGATTTTATTGTAATTTTCCACTCTTAATCACTACATAGAACCTTGGCTAACAGACCAAGATTTAGTCAGACACTTAACACTGAAAGTTACAATGGAAATATATGGAATATGTCACATTTCCAAAGAACCGATTTGTTTTAATTTGCAGAAGTATTACGGTAAAGCCTTTTTGCTTAAACATGATAGAAAGACTTTTTGAATACCTGTCACAGATAAAGGAAATGGTATGAAAAAGACAAACATAGCCATTTATTAAAGCCTTCCTGTCATAAATGACCCAACTTGGTCATTATAAAATAATTTGGTTGCTGGAGGGTTGTAGAGAGTTTCAGCAACTGCAAAAAGTTGGCCATACCAACAATATTCCACAACAATGGAGAAATACTAAAACATTCTTAAAGAAAACCTCAGAGAAGCTGAAGCAAGCAGCTAGAGTGGTGATTATCATCTGTGATTTTTGCTGCAGGTTTAAGGCACCACATGCAAAACCGATATTTATTTTCTTACCTCCGATGACATAAATCTCCCCGTTGAGCGTTGCTGATGTGTGGTTAGTCCGAGGTCGGAGCATAGGTGCCACAGTAACCCATCTCCCCTCTCTTGTGATGTACTTCCAGGTCTCTGTGGTCGACCAGGTATTGGTATTCGAACCTCGCGAGCCCCCTGTGAGGCAAAAAGGATCAGTTTGTCAAAAGTCTGTGATTGTTTTAGATTCCTCACAAAAGTAACTGGAGAGCTGCACTCTTGACTTTCTATCATTTGTCATTTAACCTACGAGTTTTTTCAACAGTGTTCTAAAAAATGAAAGAAACACATTGGAAACACATCAGCTCTCAATGGGGAAAAAACATCATGTTGGATATCTATACTGATATGGAATGGGTATCGTGTTAGAAATGAAAGGATGGCACATTGTTTCATGGAAATGAAAATGATCAACCAAGGACTCAAAGACAGACTAAAAATCTGACTAAAAACATGATGTGGCAGGCTGGTCCATTTTGCTGCAAAATAGTACTCAGGTAGATTGTGTGAGATTGTGTCCTGGGGGATCTCCCCAGACCTGGACCAGGAAATCACTGAGCTCCAGGACGGTTTGAGGTGCAACCTGTCTATTCTGATTAAAAGTGTGGAGTATACTTGACTCACCTGACACATACACATCATTGTTCAAAGAGACCATAGAGTAACCCCACTTGTTGGGATTCGGGAAATTAGGGAGCTCATGCCACCGTTCTGCAGAGAGAATGACTTGAAGTTGAGAATATTTCACGGACCAATTGATGAATTATTCACAAATACAGTGTGCAAATGACAAATGGATTGGAGTGAAATTAAGTAAAGCTATAATATTGCCAAACAAGGTCGGATAGGTTCTTGCTTGCTGAGCTGAAACAGTAAATACAAAAAGCTTTTTGGCAGGTCGTTAACTCCTGGCCAGCTTTTGCCCCTCCACATAAAAAGGAAGCTTAAAATGGCTTTACAAAAACTTTTTCCATGTGCAAAACATAACATAAATGCCTTCTTCCAGGCTGAGCAATAAAAATGCTCAGTTCAGGAATTGAGAAGATGATCCAATTTTGTCACATCCAGACCACATTTCTGAAGGGCCATTTTTCTGTCAACACTGTATTTAACGACCTACAGAATGTGCCAAACTGGTTTGAGGAATCCCACAGACATTTTCCAACAAATTTGAAAATTAAAATGGAATCTGAACTTAAACAAACTTGAAATTTTAAATGGGGGAGAAAGAGTTTTTGTTGTTGTTGTTGTTTTTTTTTTTACTGGTCTTTGTGTTGTAGAAGGCACAGTTTCTGGGCTGTAGTCTTTCCAGTCTTGGGTCTCTGTCCTCCTCTTCATCAGAGTCGTCCTCATCATCCATTGAATGACCTCCCATGACAAAGAGAACTTCTTCTAGGTTTGGTTGTGGGCTCTGGGAGTTGAATCGGTCCACATGTTCAGGTGCTAAATCCATTTTCTAGAAAGTAACATTATTTTTGTAATATAACTCGTAGCAGAACAAGAGGAGAAAAAGTGTAGAAACTCACTAACCTCTCTGTAAATCTTTTCCACAGCCTCTGTACAGCTGGGAGAGGCCTGCAGCAGACTGTCCTTCAGCAGGGTGTCAGCCAGGTAGTCCAGGCTGAGCAGAGAGAGACGGGACAAGCTAAGGAGCTCAGGGAGATGGCAGAGTCGAGACTCCCTGTGGTGCCTAACCCATTTCAGGATAGCCTCCACACGAGCGCACTCTGACCGGATTTGTAGTCTTTCATCAGACAGGCATGAGATCAGCCAATCTTTTCCCAGCAACAGAAACTCATCACCCTGTTGTACAGCCTCAAAGTTCTCCAGGAGGAAGGCCCATGCTTTGGCAACCACCTCAGGACAGCCATGAATGTCCCCAAACTCCAGGATTCCCAGGCAGTTTGTTTCATCAATCTGATGCTGGAGGTATCGGCTGCACACGGCTCGCACTGTCTGGAATTGGAGCTTGCTGGAGGTACAGATCAAACCCTCCACATTTTTCTGGTTGATAGTCAGTTTGCCTGTGTAGGCAAAGTCAAGCAAGCAGCTAAGGATCTCAGGATCCACATCATGAAGCTCCACACGTGCTGCAATGCTCTCTACAAAATCCCCTGAGAACATGCAGTGAAAGTACATGCTACAGAGCGCCAGTACGCCACGGTGACAGGGGAAATCTCGCCCTCCCGCGCTCAGAGTCACATCCACAAGTTTGGGGTGAGAACAGAGTGAACGCAAGCCCTCGAGCATGCTCTGAGGATGGGAGGACAGGCAGAAGTCCAGGTCATCCACATTACGCACCATTATCAACTTCAAAATGTAGCTCAGATCTTCTTTCAGCTGGTGCAATAAACAACTGAGATTAGCAATTACCTAAAAGTGTAGAGAAAGCAAATAAATGCAAGAAAAAAATGATATTAATTATCAGCAAGAACCTCACCATGAAGTTCAAAATCCAAAAACTATCGAAATTTAGCACCATGAACCGGATTATGTGGTAAACATATATATGAAGTAGCAGCATCATATGGAGAAATGACAGCTTCTAAACACTGAATAGGAGTTGGATGACATCTCTTACATGATAGTTGTATAGTAAATAGAAAACATTTGTTGTTATTTGACAATAACAGTCAAATCAGAGTTTTAATGTGCTGACCACAGAGTACCTTTGGCCTATGATATTATAGTTAGGTCAAAATATGTCTTGAAATCAACAACAAATAACATTTCCTGTCATCTAATAAAAACTAAGTACAGAATTAACAACATGCTCACCACATAAGCTGGAACAGAAAAAAACTTTTCATCCTC